ATATAGGGACCTTCCAATTTCCGGATGCACAAGGGAACCGACTAATCCGGAATCGAGCCGGGTAGGACCATAAGGGCTGCAAAGCTCTCCCTCAAGAGTTTTTAACACTGCTGCATTCTCAGGGCTCGAACACGAGACCACTAGTTAAGCTGGAAGAGACCCAAGCCATCTCATTCAAGCGTTTTTGGGTCCATTTCTTCACTTTTAAAAGGAACAAACATTACATAAAATCTATCACATGCTATCATGCTAGATTACATCTGATTTTCCGCGATATGGGCATTGATTATAAATTTAGTACCACTTAAAAAGAATTAATATATATATATATATATATATATATATATATATATATGAACTTTAAAAAAAAATAAAACAAAGATGAAAGAATTAAAATGATGAAAACAGGAGGAATATAAATTTAGTACCACTTAAAAAGAATTAATATATATGTATGCTTTTCTTAATATATTAATTGTGACATGATATTATGCCCCCTTTGATCAACTTTTTAGGCCGTCTTTTTAATTTCTCTAGAGGTTTGTAAATGCATCAAAATTTAATATTTTACTTTGTATTTTAATTGTCATTTTTTTTTTTGGTGCAGAGACCTTCCGGTTTCCGGTTTCCGGATCCACAGAAGAACCGACTAATCCGAAATCGAGTCGGGTAGGACCACAAGGGCGGGAAAGCTCTCCCTCAAGAGTTTTTAACACTGCTGTATTCCCAGAGCTCGAACACGAGACCACTGGTTAAGTTGGAAGACGCTCTTAGATTTTTTATTGTCATTTTGACTGTACTTTGCTGGTAAATTTAGTCTTCGCTAGCACATGGATGGGGTGTTATATTAACAGATAACCACCATAAACATATAGAATATTTTAATCTCTTAACTTTTTTTTTTTTACCACTTGTTTGTTATAATTAGCTCATTTACTTTGTACCTTTTACTGTCCTTGTGAGTTAATTTAGTCTTCGCTAGCACATGGATGGGTGTTATATTAACGGAACTTTAATTAGTAGCCACCATAAACATAAGAATATTTAATCTCTTAATTTTTTTTTACCACTAGTTTGTTATAATTAGCTCATTTACTTTGTATTTTTTCCTGTCATTTTGACTGTCCTTGCGAGTCAATTTAGTCTTCGCTAGCACATGGATGGGTGTGTTATATTAACGGAACTACATATAAAATCTTTTAATTTTTTTTTTTACCATTTATTAGTTACAAGGAGATATTATAGTCTTGTTACGGAACCATTTTTGTATATATACTTATGTAGATTAATGTAGATAGATGATTTACGGTTAAAAATTCCGACGGAATGATTCTATAACGGAACTGTATATATCCCTTTGTTGTTATGATTAGCTCATTTGTAGAAATGTTGAAAGTTTTTAACTGAATTTTTGGTGGTTCGAACTGTCAATCAACAGTTCGGTTAGTCGTTAAACGTGGTTCTGATTACAAATGTAATCGGGAACCTTGGTTTGAAAGTTCAGTTGCAATTCATAATATGTTAGTTGTTAGTAGATTTAATTTAAATAAACTAATTAAAGTTGATTTGATGTAAAAGTAGGAAAAAATGATTACAAGTGATGGTCAGTTAAAATTATGTGAATAGATGAATAATGAATTAAAGTTTATGTGATGTTTAAGAATGATTAACTGATATTATTTAATTATATTGATAATATCGGAAATAGTGATGTTGGGCTAAAATTGAATTAAATTTGAGTTTTAATTTTTTTTTTTTTTTTT